AAGGAAGAGGGAAAAGTGAAAAGTGCAAATGAGCTGCCTCTCGCTCTATTTATAGGAAATTCCTGGCACGTGCACGAGCACACGCGGCTAGGGGCATCATCATGACCCTAGCCTAGCCATCATTATGCATTAAATGTAGTACACGACTCAAGGTACACATGGCGCTTCCCCTCTTCAGATCCCATCAACTGTTGGTCTCCTTGTACCTCGAGCTCTCCAACAAGCAGCGTAGCGAATGCCCGAGCATGAATTCCCGCAGGCACAAGGTAACGGTCCTTACTCTGCGTCTAGTGGAGATCTTGTCCAGTATCCAAACTATCTTTAAGTCATCACACCCATGCTCGGAAGCAACGACTTAGGGGGCTACTATTCCGGACTGGCCCAATGGCTAGACATGGCCCAATCCGCTTCTGCTCCCAGAACGACCCAATTGCCTGAGTCCAGCTAAGCGGGGGAGGGCATTCACCTTTCTTCCCCCTCAACAGGGGAGGTTGACCAGTTTACCCCTGAGTCAACGCTCCTTCTCGACAAGACTTGCCCTTTATGCACAGTTCCACCATCCAGAAACAGGCAAGACGCTTGTACCCGTAACTACGCCCATGCCCGTAGCAACGACTAGTTATGGGCTCCTTTGCCCGTTCCAATGGCTGGTTATGGAAGTTACCTATTCTTCGGGAAACAGTTATCTCGCCCCGAAAATAGGGACCAATGGCCAAGCGCTGGGGGCACTATAAAAACCCTCTCATTTTAGAGGGTCAGGTATTCAATATTCATCCGGATACACACATATTTTGTACTTGCCTTCTTTCTCTTGATTTTTACTTTAGCATCGGAGTGTCTTGCAGGTACACCCCCTTCTCCTCTCTCACACCTAGCATCATATGTGTTTGTCTTTGTCCCACTTCAGGTTCTGATCAGTCATCAAGATTAGACTCTAACTTGGCAACTGGTGCAAGGTTTTTGTATAGTCAATCCCTTCTTGTTGACTATAACCTTGTGCTACCAGTCGAGCATTTCTTCTTACTAACTCTCCTTGTTTGTTCAACTTGTTTTTGAAGATCCACTTTGTTCCTATAACATGAGTTACTTTAGGTCTTGGTATCAGATCCCACATGTCATTTTTGGAGAATCGATTGAGTTCCTCTTAGACAGCCAGACCCCATTCCATGTCTTGGAGTGCTTCATCAATTATGTAGGCTTTATTAGAGACACCAAACCCAGAAGGGTTTCTTCAGAGGGCTTGAAAGAGGATCTGGTTCTAACAGGTTCAGAATTGTCTCTTAGAATCAGTTCTTCAGAATGTGAATATCTCTGTCTATACCTTCTCAGAGGAGTTTGAGCTTCAATAACTTCTATTTGAGAAGATTCAGAGTCTTTGGCTTCTAAAGTCTTTCCTTTTGAACTTGAGTAAGTGATCTCCAAATCTGCAAATTTCTCAACTAGATTTAACTTTTTAGAGTCAAGCTTATCATCAAATTTGACATGGATTGATTTTTCAATAATCTGTGTCTTAGTGTTATATACTCCATATCCTTTTGAGCGTTCATAGTATCCTAACATGATGCACTTATGTGCCTTAGAATCAAACTTGTCAAGATTCTCTTTAGTGTTCAACATATAACAAGAACATCCAAAAGGATGAAAATAAAAAATGTTGGATTCATATTCTTCCATAATTCATAGGGATTCTTACCAATAATAGGTCTTATAGAGATCCTATTATAAATATAACATGTTTTATTGACTGCCTTTGCCCAAAAGTGCTTGGCCACATTAGTCTCGTTGATCATGGTCCTTGCCATTTTCTGCAAAGTCCTATTCTTCCTCTCTACAACTCGATTTTGTTGTGGAGTTCTATGGTAGGAAAAATCATGGGAAATTCCATTCTCATCAAAGAGTTTCTCAAAATCTTTGTTTTTTAATTCACCACCATGATCGCTTCTGACTTTTACAGTTCTGAGACCCTTCTCATTTTGCACTTGGGAGCATAAGGTAGAAATCACAAAATGTGACTAATTCTTGTGTCTAAGAAATTTCACTCATGTCCATCTATTGTAGTCATCAATAATGACTAGTCCATACTTCTTATCATTGACAAAATCATATTTCACTGGTCCAAACAAGTCAATATGAATAAGCTTCATTGGTCGGGAGGTTGAAACAACATTTTTGGCTTTGAAAGAAGTTTTAGAAAACTTGTCTTTTTGACATGCTTCACAAAGAGCATCTGAAACATACTTCAGATTTGGCAAACCTCTGACTAAATTATGCTTGTTAAGTTGAGAAATCCTCCTCATGCTAACATGACCCAATTGTCTATGCTTGTTTAGTGGATAATTCTTTGTCTACGAGTTCTAACACCTGTTTTATTGGAAAATAATATGTACTAAAAGATTTGATCTGATTATAGTTGTTGAGGATGCTTCAACGACTCTATTTTATTCATCTTTAAAAGAAGCAGAAGAATTGAAGATCAACCAAGAGAATAATGTTGCAACTACAACTGAAATATACACGCACTTCATTCATATCAGCTCAAGAGAAACTAGTCTGTTAAGAGTTTTTATTCTTATATAGCTTAAGAATCCTTAGTGTTAAAGTGTGTTGTATTATATTTAAACACCTCTGATTATTAATCAAGTGTTGTTGTAAGTTATTCCTTCTTTAAACAGTCGGTTTAGATAAAAGTCTCTTGCCTTGGGCTTGAGCATTGAAGTCTTGGATTTGAGGAATTTAAGCAGGAAGTCTTGGATTGTAGGTCTAAGCAGGAAGTCTTGTACTCGAGGGTATAAGCAATGAATCCTTGAACCATAAGGGTTTAAGCAGGAAAGTCTTAGGATGTGAGGATCTAAGCAGAAAAGTCTTGATCAGGTGCTGATTAAGCAAGGAAGTCTTAGGTTGTAGGTCTGAGCAGGAACAAGTCTTATACTTGAAGGTATAAATAGTTGTAATTTGTTTGATTATAGTGGAAATCTCTTATGTTGCAAGAGGACTGGACTACTCTCAGTTGGAGAGGAACCAGTATAATTGTTGTATGTTCTTTTTCATTTTTATTTACTTTTGTTACATTTTCCGCTGCACTTGTTATCAGTTTCTGAACTTCTGTTTATAATCTGAACTCTAGTTCAAAAGTAAAAATGTTTTGGCAAACACAATTCAAACCTCCTTTTTGTGTATTTTTCTCACCTTCATTAATGACCTACAACGACTATATATCGTATATTTCCTTTTTGACCTTCAAATTAATTAAAAAAGTGTTTTCTAATATATTAGAACGTTTTTCTAACAGATTAGGAAAATGCTAATCAATTACAAAATAAAAAAGGTCAACACATTAATGTCTTACAACGACTCTATAACCAAACATTTCTATTTGGTCTTAAAATAGATTATATATGTGTATTCTAATTCATTTGAGTATTTTGCTAATCGATTAGATAGTAAATTTGGATCATGAATCGTTTTCTTTCTTGATGCTTCCAACTACTATATAAGAGAGGCTTGTCCTCACTTCAAACCACGCCACTTTTCAACGTTTTCATCTTTCTTTGGAATTTATCTTTCCTTCCCTCTTTAGAAAATATTTTGTTTCACTTTAAAATTTGTCTTAGTGCTAGTAAGTGAAATTTGCTTGTGAGAAAGAATTTTCGTAAGTGATCGTGTTGATTGTTTTTATTCTTAAGGGTGCGATACTCTTAAGAGATCGAGTTTGGTTCTTAAGATCAACCTATTCTAAAATCTTTATACTTGGTTTATTAAGTTTTGTCGAGAAAAGCTTTGTTTTGATTATTGAGATCAGTCATAAATTTCTAAACGGTTTGTTAGCTTAGTATGGGTAAAAGCTATAATTGATTAGGGATAAGCATGTTAAAATTTCAAAATCGGATTGTATTAAGGTTTATGGGCATAATCTTCAAAAGCTCAATGTTTCTCAAAAAGACCTCTTGGAGACCAGACTAAGCCAACATTCGGTCAAACCTGTATAAATCTCTGGTGCAATCTTTCTAACCATGTCCTTTTACTTTCTGAAATTTACTTTTATTATTTAATTTCAGGTGCAATTACTCACCCAAAAATACTAATATGATCTTAAAAGACAAAAGTTTAAATTATTTTCGGATCGGGTGTCAGATTGATCTAATTGATTAATTTAGATTGTATAAGATTGTTTCGGTCGGGCTGGGATAATTGCTTTGAACTTGTCGAAAATCAAATCCGATTTAACCCAACTAACATTTATTTTATTTATTTTTATTGCTATAAGGTTAATCCACTATAAAAATGAGGTTTATTATTTTGTTAGCATATTATTATTTCTATAATCTAATGATAATATCATGTACTCACAAAAATACAAAACATCAATACGAGTATTATTTAGTTTGTGATTTAAAATATGATATTGATTAAATTAATTTTAAATTATATAAAAAATGTTAATAATTTTGTTTTCAATACTTTTTGATATATTCTAAAATTTTGATAAATTTTTTATAAATAAAAATAAAAAAATAAAAAATTCTGAATTTTATAAAATAAAATTAAGATATTTTTATAGTTTTTTAGTAAAATAAATATTAAAGTAATGAAAATCAACCAATTATCCAACCCTATTTAGCAATGTCCATATCTAACCTAAGAATTTTCCAACAAGAATTTATTTACCCTTAAAAAGTTGTTATGACTTGTCTAACACTATTTTGTTAGAAGTTATCATCAGAAATTATGACTATATATTTTTGTGAGACATGAAAGTATCCGTCAGTGTTAATGAGACCCGACAGAAGAATTACTGCGTTTCCAGATATTCGATGATGACTAGGCACATCCACGTGTATATATAATATTCTCATCATCTCTTTCACAAACCCAATTCAACTGTATCTCATCTCAGGTCTCATTCTTCAATCCCTAATTTCAACTCTTCTTTTATTATTATTATTTATTTATGCATTCAAATTCATTTCATTTTCTAATTATAAAATCAGTGAATTCAATTCATGGGGACTGCATCGTCTATGTTAACTCAATATGATATCGAGGAAGTTCAACAACATTGCGACCATTTATGTATGTCATTAACTGCTTAATCCTTAATTAATTTTTCTTATTTTCTACTAATTATTAGTTAATTACTACTATCTGATTAAGATTAAGTTTTTATTATTTGATTTGTTGTTATTCAGTTTCGCAGCAGGAAATAGTGTGTTTGTACGAACGGTTTTGTCAACTTGATCGAAATGCTAAGGGCTTTATTTCATCTGATGAGTTTTTATCCATTCCTGAGTTTGTTATGAATCCAATTTCTCAGGTACACTTTCTCTCGTGCAATTTCAATTTTCCACCCCTTTTGATTTTTGGTTTTTTTTATTTTCAACAAAAACTTACGCCATGTTTATCTATAAACTGATTTCAGTTTTTTTCTATAGCTTATGAAAATAATTTATAACTTATAAGATGACAGTTTGATTTTACTGTATTTTTTATTATAAAAATAACTTATATATAAACACTTAAATAATATGATTAGAGTTTAATCGACATGCACCGACACTCTGTAAATTGGAAAATAGTTTACACCGTCGTCCAATAAAAAACTATCAATCTGCTATGTCATGTAAGTATAAATATCTTCGTCATTTGGCGAAATAGTCATCGGTTATTGGTTGTCAGTGGAAAAGTATTTTACACCGATGGTCAATGTAGCACTGACACTTCTCAAAAATGACGTGTTTGTGTCCATGTTGGGCACCAATATTTGTGATTACCTTGAATTTATTCATTTTTAAAAATTATTATCAACATCACCGTGTTGGTGGTGGTACCGTGTTCGGAGTGTCTGGGCTACATAGTCGATGATGCACCGCCTATTTTCTCATACGTTTATATACTATAAGTGATTAGTCTCTAAGATCTTGTTAAACGGGCAATGTTGATATTGTTAGGTTGAACATCTTTAGCCTAGTGGTTGAGAGGATGAAAAAAATAAAATAAAGACTTGTCCTGTTTAGGGTGCATTTTTTTAAGTTTAGGCATTCAATTTAACCCTCTCAAACTACTCTGCCTTTGCCCCGTCTTCGCCTGGGTTCGAATCTGAGACCTTATATGTGAGTTCCAGACGATGCTTGTCATTACATCTACTGATCAGAAATAAATGAGAGGTGATTATGCTATAAGTGCTTGATTAAGTTGATAATCCAAAGAGTGTTAACTTGTAGAGTTTCTTTTGCTATTATTACTTTATAATAATTTATATATGCTTCAGGGTAGTGTGTTTGTGTGATACTGTGAACTATTATCCAGAAGTTGATGGTTTTTGTGCTTATTTGCAGAGGTTACTCAAGATGGTTGATGGATTGAATTTTAAAGACTTTGTGGCCTTTTTGTCTGCATTTAGTACCAAAGCTAGTGCATACCAAAAAATAGAACGTACGTTTTTGTTTATATTATAAAGCTGAGTTGTTTCATGTGTTCTGAGAAGGTTTTTTACTCGGTTATTGCAAAGCTTTTGAAAATCAGAAGATGAAATGTGTAAGTTAGCGATTCGCTTTATGTTCTTACCAATGCTGAATTCATATGCAAAGACCATAAATGTTTTTCAAAATGCTCATAATAGTACATGAAGTTAATTGAACAGTTAAGAATCGTCCATTGTATATGAATTATACGATTAACTATGTAGCACCAACACTTCTGATAGAAGGCATGTCAGTGTATGACTCATGTGATTATGTTCAATTAATCCATTTTTTTCAAATTTTTACCGGCACCAACGTGTCTGTGTCTGGGTCGTGTTTTGTATCTGTGTTTGTGTCAGTGTTTTATAGACAATTAATTTCATCCTTGAAAGAAGGATTAGTGATTGTTTTCCTTAATTATGATGATATCATGTGCCACCGGCAAGTTAGGGGTGCTTATCTTTGTTTGTTTAATGCTATTGCAGTTATTTTCAGAGTATATGATTCTGATCATAATGGAAAAGTGTCATTCAAAGACATATTAGAAGTTCTAAAAGATTTGTCCGGTTCATTCATGTCTGATGAGCAAAGAGAGGTATCGCCAAATAAACATATGCTTCTATATAGATTTAATAATGAAGTAATTTTACCGATAGAAAAGCCAGTTTTCAATAAGACGCGTCATTGTTACTTAACAGCTTTGAGATCCATTTTTTGAAATCTTTCATTTTGCTTCCTTAAGATTCGCACATTCATCATATGTTCGTTCAATTTGCAGGAAGTTCTGAGCCAAGTTCTGAAAGAAGCAGGATACTCAAAAGACTGCTACTTAACATTGGATGACTTCATTAAGGTCTCTACATTTTCTTACATATTACTTCTGGAAAATCGAAAACGGTCATTCTTAGACTATATTTATGTCTTCTCTTTTTCATTTGTCACAGGTTCTTGGTCAATCTGGCATAAAAATGGATGTTGAAGTCCCGGTTGATTAAAATCGCCTGCAGTTTTCTCCGTTATTATGAAAGAAAATATTGTAAAATTTAGTTTTGTTCTTGTTTGATTTAGGCTTTTGCATTCCTTTACATATTTTACAACCTTTTTTGCCCCTGAATTCAAACATGAGGTAAACAGATATGATTTCAATGTTGTTATGCAAGTCAACCATAGTTCATATAAATATTGGACATAATGGACATTTTAGTTGAAACACTTGTTCAATGTTTTGAGGTTTACTCAACAAATCATACCTTTTTTAATACTAACAAAACCTCTTGATCACTATATATGCTCAGTATTCAATATTCATATAGATTATTTGTTCAACAAGGCTTTAAAAACTAGAGCACTGAAAAATCCTTCTAAATCCAACTTCTTACTCTTAGGGTCTGCTTCACACCATATTAAAGAGCACTTGTAACCTTTAATATCTTGAATTCAGAGTGATTGTTAGTTGTGATTCAAACTAAAAGAAATTAGGTACTTATTGTTAGTTGAGTAGGTTGCAAATTTGTTAGTTAAGTTAGAAGTTAGTTAGTTTAACTAATCATAGTAACATGTAAACCAATTTGTTAGACGCAAACACACTTATAGGACGTGTCATGTTCTTATATAGAGATGGCAAAAAAATCCGTATCCGCGGATAAAAACCGTCACTGATATGAGGCGAATAGCTGAATGGATATCTATGGATAAAATAAACAGATATTTAAATACTCGTTTGTTAATGGATATGGATATGAGTTTAACAAATATCCGTACCTGCGAATATCCATATCCGTTAATAAATTATAAAAATCATTTAAATATCATTAGTTTATTATACTTTATTTTTTCATCTTTTAAAAAAAAATTAATCTTCTTATATTTCTTTCTTTTTTTTAATTTAAATTTTCTTTAAAGAAAACATTTCACATTTCATTCAAATTCTATTAGAAAGTTCATATTTAAACTCTTTAATACTTTATACCTCGCTTCAACAATTTGAAATTATTTTAAACTGTGTTTTATAAAAACTCATTTTTGAAATCCGATTTTTTTTAAAAATTGCAATGTTGAATATGTTTTGATCTTCAATAATATATATTTATATTATAGGATGTCAAAATTTGTCTTTCAATTTATAAAAAACGAATTCGAAAAAAAGTTTTAATATTTTGAAAATTATTTTTAAAAATATAAAGAAAAAAATTATTTTTTTAAAGGTAAAACAAACATACTTATATGTCATAAAAAATCTTGTGCATTTTGTTTTCTTGTTGATATTGATATTAATTGTTTTTTATTTATTACTATTAGGTTCAGACCTCTAGACTTCTTTTTGAGAAAAAAATTGGCCAAATAATACTCTCTTTAAAGTCAGATTATCTGGTCTCTACTCTATTTCTCAGGTTAAAAAAAAAGGACTGTTAATGAGGTAGAAAGGTTGGAAGACGGAAGGATTGTGTGGGATTTTAGATAGAGGAGATCATTTTTCATCCAAGAATCTTTAGTCTCGGTTCTTTTCTTAGTCCTCCAAGAGGTTCAGTTTAGTGAGAAAAGTGATTGGTGGGTTTAGAGGAACTCTAGAGATGAGTTTTTCTCAGTGACGTCGGCCTACCAAGTGTTAGATGATCTTCGTCATGCTTCTGATTCTTCTTTAGTGAGGGGGTTTCCATCTTTTCCTCTCATTTAGAATAGTTGGGCTATTTCTAAAGATGTGGTCTTCTCCAAGAAGTTCCTTTTGAAAAGGTTTCCTTCTAGAGAAAATATGTTCAAAAGAAAGGTTATTTTCGATCTGTAGGCTAGCTCTTGTATTCTCTATGGAGATTGGCTTGAATAATCCTCTCATTTATTTGGTACTTATAATCTTTCCTCTTGTGTCTGATACAGGATCTTTGGGTGGTTAGGGTTTCATTTGGCTCTTCTTAGTGATATTATGACACTTTTTGAAGTTTTCATCTCTTTAGGGGTTAACTCTAAGTCTAGAAAAGTTTTTGTCATGATTTGGCATGTTGTTGTGTGGTCCATTTGGTTAGCGCGGAATGAGAAACATTTCTCTAGTATGACAACAAATGAAAAATAATGGAAGAGAGGAGTATTTTTTGGTTTGGAGTTGGTTTTGTGGTAGTACATCTGTAAATTCCTTTTTTGTCTTGGTCTGCCTTCAGAATTATATCCAGTGTCTTAGAAAATAACGGTTCAAGTGATTTGAGCTTCTCCAGATTTGTTTTGTGGCTCTGGTGTAGCTATTGTGCTTTTGGCTTGTTGATGGTTCATCTGGCGATCTAAGATCTAGTCGGTGTTCCAGTGGGTGTGTAACATCCCAAATTTAATCGGAATATTTTAATTAATTATTTAATTGAGAATATTCGTATTTTGGTGGTTTTCGGTGGTTTTGTGAATTATTGAGAATTTGTGCATTTGTGAATTATTTAATTAATTAATAGTATGCTATATGAGAATATTAGTATTATTATTGATTAAAATGAATATAAGTGAAATAAGGGTAAATTAGGCATTAAGGGGAGTTAGTAAGGATATTATAGGAAAAGCCCAATTTGTGAGGCCCAAGACTAGGTTTGACAAAATGGGGTTCTGAAGGGAAATTAGAATTCATTTATGTTGACCGTGAAAGTTTGGTGGCCAGAGCTCTGAAGGAAAGGTTGGAGGCAGAAGATCCCCAGAGTTAATCGTGAAAGTTTTGAATCGACTAAGGTATGGGGAGTATACCTTTTCATGATTTTCTATGTATACCTTCGATGTGTTTATGGTTGATTTAAGATTTAAGGTACTTTGGGTTGATTGCGGGAAATTAAGAAAATTGATGATAAGACTCTAAGATTATGGCTAATGGTATGTATCACTGAATATTTGATATGAGAATTTGGAAACCTTAGGCCTTGTGGCCAAAACCTTAGATCATTATATGTCTGACCATAAGGGATGGGAATATGTGTTATGACATGAATATGTTGCCGGATTGGCCTGATAAACCGTAGGTTTTGTGCCGTTATCGCCGTATGACCTTAGGGATGATTTAGGGATGTTTTAGGGGCATGGGGTGTGTGAATCGTATGAGTTTTTAGATAGAAATCAGTTCTGGTGCGTAGCAGATTTTGCTGTCATCGCGCTGTTCGCCTAGCGAAGAAAAGCTTCGCCTAGAGAACCATGTTTTCCCAGACTCACCTAGCGAAGAAAGCTTCGCCTAGCGAAGAAACTTGCCCCGACTCTCCTAGCGAGCATGCCAGTGAACGTAACAGAGTTTCACGAATGTTGATCGTGTGCAGCGATGCCTTGATGTTTGATTCTGAGATTTCTGAGATGAGTTAACATGAGTATGACAGTGAGGAATCATGTGACTGATAGGCGACAGTGTGAGGATTACCGCGAGTATAATTTGATGAATTAATATGAGATAATATGGGATAATATTATGAATTAATATGAGATAATATGGGGTAGTATTATGAATTAATATGTGATAATATGATGGGCTAATATGAGGATGACTATGAGCTAATATGTGATTTGTACGTGATTATATGACGATTTCCATGATGTGTGATGATGATTATTATGATGAATTATATGATGACATGATGTGTGAGATTAATTATTATGATGAATTATATGACGATTTCCATGATGTGTGATGATGATTATTATGATGAATTATATGATGACATGATGTGTGAGATTAATTATTATGATGAATTATATGACGAAATGATGTGTGATGATGAGTATTATGATGTGATGTGATGGCATGATGAATGATGATGATTATTATGATGAGTTGTGATGACATGATGTATGATGATGATTATGATGATGAGCTATGACGTTTGATGATGATGAATATGATGAATGATGATGCACTTATGTTGTATTATGAGGATTATTATTGTGACGTGTGCATCATGCATTCATGTGCATCCGGACTTCGGTTCAGGACCTCGATTACTTTGGCTTCAATCCCATTGTGTGGATGTGAAGTGTTTTAATGTGCTCCGGTTCTCTAGTAGAATCGATCCTGTTGACGGGGATCTATGGAGGGTTGATGGCCAGTGTCCATCGAGCTGTGATGATTGGTACCACATGCATTGAGTAGTGTCGCATTGCATTTATGAGTCTTTTATATAAACTATGACGTTGTGGCCTTTGAGGCATATTTGAGGAATATGAATGTGTTAAATATAAGTATAATGACGTTTATGCATTAATTGTTATACATTGATTATTATGAACTGTTTTACTCACTCTGCCTGTTTGAATGTTACCTCCACGTGGGTAACGTGCAGATGACCCAGTTTAGCCGTGGACGCCGTCGAGGAGTATTTTTGAAGTTTTTGAGTGTTTTAGCCTTTTGGTTAGCGTAGAGGGTCTTGCTCTGATATGTAACATCGGGTTGGATTCTTTGAGTAAAACTATATATCAGTGGTTATTTTACTTATTTTTTCCCTTTTGAGGAAACCTTGACTTTATGCTTTGAGTTCCGCTGTTTTATGATGTTTTGATGTATTTTGGGGAAAACCCGTAGTTACGGAGTATGGACCTATTTTGATGACTTTGAGAAATGTACACCCTTTTGGTGGCTTTTTAATGAGATTTGTTTATTCACTCTGATTTTTGTGTTATTTTGCCACGATCGTTTTGGGGTAGAAAAAGGGTGTTACAGGGTGGAGGTTTTTTGTACAACTGTTGTATGGTCCTGGTAAAGAAGCAGTAGTGTGAAGTCTGACGGGCCTCCACCAAACCCATTAGGTGCCTCTTGTGCTTGGGGTGTCTAGGTTCATATATTGTCTCTTGTGTCTGGAATGCCTTTTCTACCTCCTGTGCTTGGGGTACCTCCCGTGACTCGGGTACCTCTATTGTCTCGGGTGTTTGAATAGGTGAAACATGTCGCCTATGGGAAGATGGAAGTACAGATGCATGAGTAGGTGACACTCGTTTTTAATGGGAAGAATAAGGTAGAGATACATGAACCTCAGAAGCTGACGTCTCCGCATCAACT